AGTTTGTAAAAATGGAGATTTACCTGAAAAATTCCAATCACATCTAATGTCGTCTATTCTCCTTTAATATTCATAAAGGTAGTCTGATATGATGCTTGCATAGATCCAAATGGGTGTCCGAGAAACCAGTGTTAATAAAAATAATGTGATAGAAGACATTTCAACCTCATTCTTAATTTAGTGACTAGCACTTGAAGTGTCTTTTCTCCTTTCCCTGACTCACCGAGCATCACCAGAGGAAGAATTGAAGTAAGAGCATGAAGGTGAGCATTACCTTCACACATTGGTGGGGGATTTGTTGAGATTATGTTCTAATTATATTCACATCAAAATTCAGAAGGAAAAGAAAAGTCCTCTAGTCCTCAATTTCCAAATGTGTTCCTTGGAAATACAATTTGCTTTCAAATCCTTCTATATGAAATCTTCCCCTTTTTTATTTTTCATCTCTAACATGATAGCTGTATGTATGGGTCACTTATTAAGTGTTTATAACTATATGCTGATCAATTTGCAAATTTATTTCACTTACTGTTCTCGACACTCTATGCCATAGCCACAATGTTTGTGGTTTTCAAAGCATTTTCTAAAACATAATCTCATTTGATTCTGACCACAATCTTGTGAAAGAGGATGAATAATTATTAGAATTTCACAAAGGAAATGAAGACTCAGAAAAATCCAGTAGTTTGTTCTAGGTCACACGGTTTGTAAGTGGCAGATTTGAGAATCAAACTAAGTCTTCATTATAAAGGAGTCTCACTAAGAGGTGAGATCTTTTATTTCCAAAACAAAAGTTCAAATATCATTATTTTAAAAAGCTTCATATTTCTAAATCAAAAAGTATATTCTTGCAATGATACAGATGATACTCCTGACAATATAAGTGTTTCAGCAGTATTTTTTGTTTTCGTTTTCTATACAATGTTTTAATTGTTCATCATAAAGGTAGCTGGCTAATTGCTACATAGATTTAGAGCTCTTTGTCTTAGATATTCACCTTTCTCTCCCAATTGCATGTGATTTGTGAATGAAATTCTTATTTATCAGGCATTTAGTCTGTAAGTTATGAGGGTAGGAAATATGAGAATATTGTACAGATTGCTGTATTCTCAGAACTGAGCACAGTGCCTGGCACCTAATAGGCAGTTAATATTTTATTAATTTAAATCAATATAATTTAACTTAATAAAAGTGATGGCAAAGTGATAATTTAGTGGGAATCAGAATTCATTTGCTATGAACCCCTGCCAGCAATACACATATATTTAAAAGCTCATAGAATTGGATTAATGAATGTCTTCATTATCCATTTTTCATTTAATCCATTATCAAACTTAAGAATTGAGTTGATTCATCTTATCATCTATTATGGGAAAATAATGTAAAAATCTCTGACTTGCACTTGGAGAACATTACAAAAAAATTATATCAACAAAGAAATAATTGCATGATGCTAAGAAACCTTCATTCATTTTTTTTTTTTTTTTTGAGGAAAATCAGCCCTGAAATAACATCCATGCCAATCCTCCTCTTTTTGCTGAGGGAGACTGGCCCTGAGCTAACATCTGTTGCCAATCCTCCTCTTTTTTTTCCCCCTTTTTCTACCCAAGGCTCTAGTAGATAGTTGTATGTCATAGTTGCACATCCTTCTAGTTGCTGTATGTGGGATGCTGTCTCAGCATGGCGGGACAAGCAGTGCGTCGGTGTGCACCCAGGATCCGAACCGGGGCTCCCAGCAGTGCAATGCGCGCACTCAACCGCTAAGCCACGAGACCGGCCCTTTCATTCATTTAATAAATAGCTATGAGCCACTAATATGGACTAAAAATATTCAGAGGTAAACAAATGAGGTCCCTGCCTCATGGAGCTTATTTTCTGGCCATAGAGACAGATATTAAAGCCATAAAAGAATGAATGTGTAATATATTGGTCAGAGATAAGTGTAAGCAGAATTCTAAAGAAGGAGACGGGGATAGATAATGATTTAGGAGAGGTAGGGGAGGGCTATGATAACTACCGTGTTCATAGACAACCTCTTCATGGAGTAGGTAGTGATGTTGCCATTCTCAGCAGCCAGACAGGAAAGGAGATTAGGTTTAGAGTGGGATGATGATTCTGGGGCTGATGCAGCAAGTAATGTGGGGGATCTTATTCAAAATACACATGCCTGCTTTCCACTACCTCCACCATGATGCTGAGAACCAATGGATTAAGAACAGATATTGGCATTCTCTGTGAATTCAAGTTAGTAATCACTAAGTAATTTACTCTAATTAGAAAAAGGCACGTGAGCACAATGTTTCTTTCTATGCACATAGTTCATCTCCTGCATTTGCATCAACTTACCTTAATTATACCTACTTTTTTGGAGAATATGAAGGAGATGATATTCATACAGCTCCAGAAATTTGACCACCTGTTTTGGTCAGGCTTCATTGTTTCAAAATAACAGATAACAATGCTTCTTTGTATACCCGGATATTTTCGATTGGATGCCGCACATTGTGAATTTTAACTTCTTTAAGTGCTGAATATTCTTGAATTTTTAAAAGAACTCTTAAACTTTGCTCTGGATGGAAATGAAGTTACTTGGAAACAGTTTTATCCCTCTAAATCATGGTTTAAAGCACTGTTATGTGAACTAGAGCAGCTTTTAGTCTCGGGTTAATTATACTCCACTACCAAGGCAATCACCTTCTAAGTACTCTGACTGATGCTTCACATATTATGAGGTTTTTCTACTCTCGCTAGTGGGAAACAAACTATTTCAGGCTCTAGGGATTGTTGTCCCTTCTTTTTAGATGCCTCTTCCCCCACCTTGGATAATTCCTCACATATATGTGCTGATCAGTATTCAGCCAAAGATTTGAAGGCAATCTCTACAGTTCTCTGTGGCTTTCTTTCTGTGCTGTTTCCCTCATGTCATTCTGTCCTGTGAAGTCTAGCCACCTTGACATCCCCATACAGCCAAATCTATCACATCAACTTAAGAAACTGCCAGGCTCTCCCCGGATTCTTCCTCTCAGTGCTGTGGCTGGAAATATCTCTGAGAAGGAAGGTCCGAGAAAACAGGGGCAATTGTGGGGCTCTTTCTTCTCTCTCACGATTATCATTGTGCATTGCCTGTTTGTTCAACATCTGAAAACCATTATTTCATATATTTTTTCTGTTTTTTGAGTTATTTAAAGTACAAGGGTTAATCTAGCTCCTGTTATTCCATTTTGGCCAGAAGTAGAAGTTGACTCCCAACGTTTATAGGCTGCTTTTAGGAGGAAGAAGTATAGCAGATTAAATGACATGAAAATATCATGTTGGCTGAGTGTAAAAAATAAGCTGGAAAGATAGCTTGGAATTTGGTTTCAGAGTTTTGAGGCTTGATCTATAGAGCTCTGACTCAATCTTAAAATAGTGGGAAGACAATCATGGCTTCAACAGGAAAGTATCCTGAAGAAAGCAATGATTTAGGAAGACTGAATTAATAGAAACATCCTGAATAACATACACAGAGAGTGTGTGTGTCTGTGTGTGTAATAGAATCATATAATAGACACATAGGATACACATGCACATAACACATACTTGAGAAACAAAATACAAACAGGATAACATGTAGAACATGTAGAATCTTTGCCTGTTTTGTTCACCTGCACAAGTCATAGGCAATAAATATGTGCATTGAATGAATGAGTGAATAAAGGAATATCCTCCAAAATAGTTTATACCATGTCAGCTGTGTAGCTCCAAGAAACATGGCCCTTTTTCCTCCCAATACTTAAAGAACAAAGCATAGGGCAAAGTAATTGAAAGCGATTGTGGATTCTAACTCCACAGAATCAGGATTGTTGCTATTGGGCAAGGATGGAAAGAAAAAAAAGTGGGGGGGCTATACAGCTCCTAGAAATTTGGTTCATTTCTTCGGAACCAAAAGAGAGCTCCGATAAGAGATTGGTCGCAATAATAAACTATATTTAACATATAAATTTCTGGCTTACTTTTTCCAAAAATTTATATGATATTAAATATTGCAAAACCATTGTATTATAACTTTTTAAACATTTGAAAGATTCTATAGGATGATAAATATTTCTAAATACTGGACATAATTATAAGTAACAAAATTTGCATTGCATTTTAACTGTGACACGAGTGTCTGATCTATACTCTGGTCCTGTGGTGTTCCCCACTCATTATTTCAGATTAATGAGAATTGATTCAAAGGTGAAACTGAAGCTCTGTAGACAGATCAAGTTGACAATATATATTCTGGGTTTTTCTGTGTAAAGAAAATATTTGAAGCAATGAAAATATCCATATCCATAAAATTAATTTTAGTTTTTTCCTAAGTTAATTCTGTAGGCCCAAAATGAGTCCAAAGACCACAAGGATCAATTTATCTAATTAAAATAGACATTGTGCAGTCTATTGTCTGCTCTTCCCATGGATGGCTCTTTCAGAAATACCTGGGCATTTAAAAGAGAAACAAACTTCACTTGAAGAGAGACAAATTCCAACCAAGAAGCAGAGATTCATAAAAAATATAATAATAAAAGCCAATGTTGATTGATGAGTACCATATGCCAGGCAGTGTGGCATGCATTTTACATAACTTTGTCTTATTATATCTTTCCTTTCTAAGGTAGATAGGCACAGTCTGAGTTCTAATTGTAACCTTGACACATTAACCTCTCTGGTTTTGATGTCCTCTTCTATGAACATGCAGATAATAATAAAACCACTGTTTTTAATGTTGTCCAGGGAATTAGGAGATTTAATCTCAATAAAACTCTTGAAACAATTATGGTTTGTAATAAGTATTTAATAAATGTTATCCCTAAACATTACCATTTCCCCCCACTTTACAGTCACAGAGACTAAGGCCAAAAATTAAAGAAAGTTGCCCTAGTTTACCTCCCTAGAAAATGGAATTTGAGTTGTCAGGAAAAACTACTATTACATAGCTCATTGGCAGATATTAATCAATTAATTAAAATGTTTAACTTGAGTACCTGGGGAAAGAAATAGATTAGATGGCCTCCGAGGGTTGTGGGGTGGAGCAGGGGCGGCTGCATTTCAAGCTCAGTGTTGTGAAGCTTGGGGAAGACAGTCCTTCAGTGGCCTAGGTTTCACTTGTGTCTTCTCCATTCTTGGGTCACTGTCTCCACCTCCTTCATCAAGCGCAGACACAGCTCATCCCGCCATGGTAAAGCCACACACTGCACTGCAGTGGGAAGCCCCACTCCTCCCTCAACAATCTGGAAGGGAAAGGAGGTCATGATTCCACAGCTACCTGGTCCGAGCCTTGGCACCATTTCCCTAGGACACATCAGATTCTCCCACACTTGTGCAGAATGGACTAGGTTTTAGAACAATTTATAGTGAGTTTATTGATTTTAAAATCTGAAAACCATTTGACCCTTCAATTATATGTCTTTACCTTCACCGTGTTTTCTCTTCCTCCCACAGAAAGAAATCACCCAAAAGAGATTTCCAAAAAAAGATGGAATATGAAAAGCATTGAAATAATCACAGCTATATCCTCTGTTGCTGAAGTTTGTACTTTAGATCCTAGGAGGGACTAAATGTTGTCAACTGCCTGTTGTTTGGTCTTCCTTGAGGGATAAGAGTTTAGGGGAGGAGATGGTTCTTCACCAGAACTGCCACACTGAGAATCAGCGACAGGAGACCTCAACGAACATGAATTCTTTGCAATGAGCTCTAGTCAAGGGAATGGAACTCTAAGACGAGGTCAGAAGTTTTCTTCAACCGCGTTAGACTCAATGACCCTACCTACTTCTCCAGAGAATGGTAACCTTTGCACTCTGAAATAGCACTCTTTAAGAGCACTTTCCTCTGACTTTAGGAGGTAATTTTAGCTGACCTCAGGCTTTTCAAAACTTGTTCTAATATACTGTTCATCTTTCAATCATTTTCCTTAAGAATTTTACCTATTACATTTAACTTTTAAAAATACTACTAAACTGAATTTATTCTTATTTTATTTTGCTATTTTATTATGCTCCTTAAATAATATTTTCTTTAATTTGTTTTTTAAACCTTCCAGATGGTGATATATCCATCTCTTACTTATTCTTAGCTTGTACTCCAAATCTTGCTCTTCATCTTAGTTTCCAATCATTTTATCCTCCAGATTAAATTAGCCAAGTGACATACATTTTATACAATTTCACCAAGTTGGCTTCTCTAGAGTCTTTTAAACAAATTACACATTCTTAAAGGTTACTAAGTTAACTATACCTATTTTTAACTTTCATTCATCTACTTATATTATCTAGTAGTATATTCTCTTTACTAATAACTGTTTGTTTTACACATTTTGTTTATTTATCCCCTATGTATATGGCACCTTATTTTCTTCAGTCATTGTGTTATCATTAAAAGTGGGAAATAATAAAAATAAAAGTTAACGCTCCTTTTACAGAATGTCAAGACCGATTTCATACGTTCACTCTTCATGTGCTAAAACAGCACTCGAAAGCAGAGACTGCTAATTTACTATTCATTCACACTTTTATTTAATTTGTGCATTCCAAAAGTCAAATTAATCCACAAGAGGAAATTAATCCCATCTCTAACACAAACTCCAACATAGGGACTTTGAGTTTTCCCAGAAAATTCTATGGAAAGATAATTAAAGAATGATAATTTGAGTAGTACTTGGAATATCATATCTTACATACTCTAGGTTTTCAATATATATCAATGTTTATCTATCCATCTCTATATCTTTATGTAGAATTTATATGAAATATAAATGTTTCTCAGAACCTACAAAAGAATTGATAACTGTTTGTGGAAATAATATTTGGCTGAAAGACAGATTCCCAAGCAGGAGGTATCAGTTATTTCACTATAGTCCTCTTTGGATACTAGACACTTGGTAACAGGCTAAAATTGGTTGATTTTTTGTTTGTTTGTTGTTACATAGGGATGTAGACATGTTGAGCACTGTACCTTAGGTTTTGCTTTATATGGTTTCTAGAGTTAGCAGCCTATTTATTAAAAATGTTTAAGTTCAGAAATTCATCTCTGAAAATACTCCAAAGACATATGGGTCAGGAATTTCTTAAGACAGAAAATTCTAAAGATTCAATATGAATGAACTCAAACTCCTGTTCTATAAAGTGTAGTGAGGATAAGGAGGAAAATAGAAGGAGGGTGTTCACACCAATAGTGATGGCTTTGGAAAGCTCACCTGTTGTTCTATTCCATAAAACACAAGGAAAATGTCTCTTAAATCAGGACAAATAAAAGTGTAATAGAAAAGACTTAAGAAGGAGAGTTTCAGAGTCCTAAAACTCTAAACATTCTATTTTCTACAAAGACCAAATTTGGAATTTAAAGAATACTAGAAATATTTAATTACTTCTTTTTCTAATAAACAGAGAAAGAAAAGTGATTTCTTAGATTCAATCCTATTTGATTGCAAAAGAAAATAACATTCTCATGTAACATTGCCAAATATATATGATAATGTGGCTCAATAGGGCATGAAGGACAGAGAGAGAAAGTAGAGGTCATTAAATTTATCTCTCTCAGAAACTAGAAAAAAATAGCACATCCCCAACATCTGGAGCAGGAAATCCTTAAAAATCCTTTTCCCTGCCACTCAGAGCCCTCTACTGGAGTAACTCACCTTCCGGAGTGTTGTATCCCAAAAGTCATGGTAGTATCCTCGGTATTGTTTCAGCTCCTCCTCATCTTCCTTTGTCACTGTGCCAACGGGGACAATTCCCGCAGGGAAGTTCAGCACATTGTAAAGGAAAGTATAGGATGTAACACCTGGAAATCATGCACGCAGGCTCATCAGAACTCCTCCAGTCTTCCCACCATTTTGTTTCTCCCTTTCTTGCACCCTTACAAGGTGAAAAGGCAAAGCCTTTTGTCTTCTGCCTTCTACAACTCAGAAAAACAAGTGGCCTTGTTTACATTTTTCAGTGGAGAAAACAAACTGAAATAAAGGGAAATGGCCCCTTCACTGAAATTACTAAAATTGGGTCCAGATTTCTCATCTTGTTCTCTACTCCACATCTACTCCAAATATTATTTTAAAATGACTGGGGATTTTCATTCCTTAAAAGACATTCATTATACATTGATAGAAAATTAATTGATTTTCAAATATTTATCTATTACCTATTATAATTTAATCACATATATTTTGAGGATATAAATGTGAAAAAAGTATGACATTAAATTTCAGGATGTTTTTAATATAATAGGAACATAACATAGCCATGGTGTTTATTTGTGTTAATAAAGCCCACTCCAGTCATGGTGTATGGTAGGAATAAAATGAAATATTTGTTGATTGAATAACACAGAAAACATGCTATTTTACAAGCTTCTAGTGCAAATAAGAAGTAATTAACCTTTAAAGTCGAAGTGAGAGCATGAATATAAAATTTTTGCTCCCACTAAGAGTAAGAACAATACAAGAGTGTCCCCTCCTACTACTTCTAATGCAATAAGTGAAGAAAAGGAAATAGAAGGTATATAGAACAGGAAGGAAGAAATAAAACTGTCTTTGTTCACAAATGATGTGATTTGTCTATACAGAAAATCTGAAAGTACTGATGGGAAATAAACCCTCCTGGAACAAATAAGGGATTATAGCAGGGTTACAGAATGCAAAAGTCAATTGCTTTCTTCTATATCAGCAATGAACAAGTGAAATTTGAAATTAATAACGTAATACCATTTACAATAGCATCCCAAACGTTGAATTCTTAGGTACAAATCTAACAAAATATGTAAAAGACCTAGATGAAAAAAACTACAAAACTAAGATGAAAGATATCTTAGAAGAACTAAATAAGTGGAGAAATATTCCCTGTTCATGACTCAATATTATCAAGATGTCAGGTCTTCCCGACTGATCTACAGATTTAATGCAATCACAATCAAAATCCCAACAAGTTATTTTGTGCATCTTGATTCTAAAGTTTATAAGGAGAGCTGACATCCCTGGAATAGCTAACATAATATTGAAGAAGAACAAAAAGTTGAAGGGCTGACTATTCTAATTTCAAGACTTACTATAAAGCTACAGTAATTAATACAGTGTTATATTGGTGAATGAATAGATATATCTATTCTCTATTCTCTATTTCAGAATAGAGAACCCAAAATAGATTCCCATAAACATAGTCAACTTCTCTTTGATAAAAGAGCAAAGGCAAGACAACGTACAAAAAATAGTCTTTTCAACAAATGGCACTGGAACAACTGGACATCCACATGCAAAAAAAAATCAATCTAGACACAGACCTACACACTTCACAAAAATTAACTCAAAACAGATCACAGACCTAATGTAAAAGGCAAAACTATAAAACTCCTAGACGATAACATAGAAAATCCAGGTGACCTTGGGTATGGCAATGACTTTTTTGATAAAACACTAAGGATGCAAACTATGAAAGAAATAATTGATAAGCTAGATTTTATTAAAATAAAAAATTTCTGCTTGCAAAAGACACTGTCAAGAGAATGAAAAGATGAGCCACAGACTGGGAGAAAATATTTGCAAAAGACATATCTGAAAAAAGACCACTATCCAAAACATACAAAGAACTCTTAAAACTCAACAATAAGAAAATGAAGAACCAGTTAAAATATGGTCCAAAGACCTTGGAACATATGGAACAAACTCCTCACGAAAGAAGATGTACAGATGGCAAATAAGCATATGCAAAGATGCTCCACATCATACGTCATTAGGGATATACAAACTAATGCAACATTGAGATACCACTACACATCTGTTAAAATGGCTAAAATCCAGAACACTAACAACAACAAATGCTGGTAAGGATGTGGAACAAGAGGAACTCTCATTTATTCCTGGTGGGAATGCAAAATGGTAGAGCTACTTGCAAGACAGTTTGGCAATTTCTTACAAAAATCAATATACTCTTACCACATGACCCAGCAATCACGCTCCTTTGTATTTACCCCAAAGAAGCTGAAAACTTATGTCCACACAAAAGCCTGCACATGAATGTTTACAGCAGCTTTAATCATAATTGCCAAAACTTGGAAGCAACCAAGATGCCCTTCAGTGGAGGAATGGATAAATAAATCGTGGTACATCCAGACAATGGAATATTATTCAGAGCTAAAAACAAACAAGCTATTAAGCTATGAAAAGATGTAGAGGAAACTTAAATGCATATTACTAAATGAAAAAAGTCAGTCTTAGAAGGCTACATACTGTATGATTCCAACTATATGACATTCTGGAAAAGGCAATACTATGGAGACAGTAAAAAGTTTGGTGGTTGTCACGTATTAGGGGGGAAGGAATGAAAAGGAGGAGCACATAGGATTTTTAGGGCAGTGAAGCTATTCTATGTGATACTACAATGACGGATATATGTCATTATACATCTTTCAATTCCCATAGAATGTACAATACTAAGAGTGAGCCCTAATGTAAACTGTGGAGTTTGGGTGATAATGATGTGTCAATGTAGGTTCATCAATTGTAACAAATGTCCCACTCTGATGCAGGATGTTGATAACAGGAGAGGCTATTTATGTCTGGAGGCAGGGGGTATATGAGAAATCTCCTATCTTCTGCTCAGTTTTGTTGTGAACCTAAAAGTACACCCCCCAAAGAGCCTACTTGAAAAAATTTGCAAATAGAGGATTATCACCCTTCAGAGTATAGTGGAGAAATTAGTGGGTAAGTAGTGATATGGCATGGTCTTAGTCCTCATTCTATTATTTTCAAACCATGTGACCTTAAATTCATAGTTTTAAATTACTTTATCACTTTCCTTAAATACAAAATAGAAGAGGATTAAAAGCCTTGTCTTTCATACTCACAGTGGTTGTGAAAATCAAATTAAATAATGCACACCAAAAAAACTTATAAGCCACCAAATGCTGCATGAATAAGAATTTAGAACTATTTGGCTAGGGAAAAGAAGAGGAAAAGATGAATAACAAGTAAATAAAAGACTTTGAGAATAGTAGAAAACAAATTCAGAAGCATAACAGGTTTAGAGAAAGGAGTTAAGGCTGATGGCAATCTCATGCAAGGTAGGTTCTAATATATTCAATCTTAAATTTTTCAATTAATATAACACTAAAGTGGTGACAAATCCAAGGTTAGAATACAATTCTTCTGATTTATAAACCGGTACAATTTCCCCTACATCTTATACTACATTGTATTTATCTAATTTAAAGACCAAAGAACTAAAAGTTATTTTTTACCAAGGAGAATCCCACTAGAAGCCAAGTTGAAGGCTGGACATACAGCAGGACAGAGAATAACATCCAACTCCAAGGATGTCCACTTGTCAATGAATTCATGCTGATAAGTCTAGAAAGAAGACAAGAATCCAACCCAAACATTACTATATGTACGACAAGAAACAAGGGCTTCTATTACTTTAGAAAATTTTGTCCTTTAAAATTGCTGTAGGTGATGTAATGAAATCATACTTTTACCAGGGAAGTTGGATTTTAAACACACCATGATTGAGCTTCCAGGAAAGCTCATACCCTAATCCTTACTGGAAGAAATCTGAATTACCTTCAGAGCGTACTGTTGCTTCCAGAGCTTCTTCACTGACCTGCAATGCATGGCACAGACATTAAGGTGAACACAGATGTCCCAGTTTATAACCTCAGTATATGTTTTGGCAGAAGTCCTGAACTTTCTCTATATCTACTAACCACTCTCCTTTCCCAAAACTCATTTAATCTCTTTTACTTCTCTTTCAGTTATCTCATTCAGCACTTCTCCTTCTGCTTCTCCTGGTAACTTAATATCACTATTTTTTTACCCTCAAATCCACATTTATTCTCCAACTATAAATATTCAACATAATTCACCATAGGGCTTTACTCTTATATTTGTGTCGGGTTTCCTACTTTGAGGACCATAAATCTCAGTAATCTAAGTAACACTCTCTTATGCACGTACACAGATAAACTCACCCAACGCCGCAGGTTTTCTCTAAGAATTTGGCCAGCCGTGGGAACTAGAAGAAGTCACAGATGAGTTTAGATTCATCAAGAAGAACCATAACTGTACAAGCAGAGCACAGAGTCTGTGTTGGGACTTGCAAAGATTGAAGTGGGAAATTACAAGTCTCCTTTGTGGATGAATATTTTAATATTATGGTATTCTATTAGTTGATACAGAGTGAAGTTTCAGACATATTGAAAAGAGATATAAAACTAGGTAAATAGGTTTCTCTTGGGGAAATATTTTGTATTTGGAAATTATGTATACAGGTATACTTCATTTTATTGTGCTTCATTTTATCGCACTTCACAGACATGGCATTTTTTACAAAATCCTCTGACGGCAAAAAGATTACAACTTGCTGAAGGCTCAGATGATGGTTAGCATTTTTTAACAATAAGGTATTTTTAAATTAAGGTATGTACATTGTTTCTTTATACATAGTGCTATTGCACGCTTAGTAGACGACAGTATAAACACAACTTTTATATTCACTGGAAAACCAAAAAATTTGTGTGACTCACTCTATTGTGATATTCGCTTTATCGTGGCAGTCTGGAATTGAACCTGCAATATCTCTGAGGTATGCCGGTATATATGTATGTGTGTGTGTATATGTGTGTATGAATGAGATACATGAGGCAACTGTTTTCAGATGAATGTGTGGCAGTGCAGGACTGTGAATTCATATAAAAAATAGCTCCTGGGGATCTGTGAGCTGAAGGATTATTCTGAAGTTCCCACAGTGCTTGGATACATAGGATTTCGGAATATCTAGAGGAAAGATACTTTGCTGAACAATACGGTTATTCAGTCGACACTGAAGGAAAGCTAAGCCTTAGCCGCAGGACTTTTCTACCACTACAGTAATAGCTACTCTAGAATAATTCTAACAAAGTTCAAACACAAAATTTGAAAGGTTAAGATTAACTGATTAGGAAATTAACTGCCTGCATGAAAAAAACAAAAACAAAACTCTAATATGTCAATTCTCTCTAAAGAAAACTGCTAAATTCAGAGTCTCTGTTACCTAGCATCCACACTGTTTGGCAGACAATAAAAAAAAATTCTAGACATTAAAAGAAGCAGGAAAATATGACCCATAAGTGGAAGGAGAAGGCAGTCAGCGGAAACAAACCCTGAGAGATGATCTGGATGTTGGAATTAGCAGACAAGTATGTTACATCACCTAAAAAAAACATGTCTAAGGACTTAAAAAATGGTCATCATAAATGAACAGATGTGTAGATGGGGAAATATTAGCAGTGAAATAGAGCCTATAAAAAGAATCAAATGGGAATTCTAAAAGCAAGAAATAAAATATGTAAAATGAAAACTTCACTGAACAGCCATTACATAAGATTGGATGCAGGAGAAGAAAGAGTCAATGAACTTAAAGATCAATCAATAGACATTACTCTCTCCAAAGACACAAAAACAAAAATTGAAAATAAAGCATCAGTAATAAGCAGAACAGTATTATGCAGTCTATCATACATGTTATTAGAGTCAAGAGGAAGAAGAACAAAAAGACTGTGATAGAAAATATATGTGAAGTAATAATGGCTGAAAAGTTACCCAAATTTACTAAGAAAAATATCAATTTATAAATCTAAGAAGGAAAAATAAATAACCCCTAAGCACAACATTGTCAAGCTGCTAAAACCCAAAGATAAAGAGAAAATTTTGAACATAGACAGAGAAAAGATGCATTGCATACAGGGGAAAAACCATGCAAATGACAGATCTTTCATGAGAAGTAATGTAGGTCAGAAGATAATGGAATGTCATCAATAAAGTGCTGGGGAGTAGGGGGGTTATCAACTAGAATTGTATATGCAATGAAAATGTTATCATACTACAAAGGAAAATTTAAGATAGTTTTCAGATAGACAATTGAAAGAATTTTTTGCTAACAGACCTGCAGTAAAGGAAATATTCAAGAACATTATTTTTGCTGAAGGGAATATACACTCTGGGGGAACCTAATGTGCATGATGAAATAAAGAATACCATAAATAGTGAATATGTGAGTAAATATACAAAACTGTATTTTTCTTAACTTCTTTAAAACCCTAATGACTGTCTAAAACAAAAATTATAACAATCATATGGGATTTATAATATATGTACAGTAACATATTTGACAATATCACAAAGTATAGGGGTTAAAACAAACCATATAGTTGCCAGATTCTTACATTTCTTGTGAACTGAGACAATATCAACTCTAAGTACACTGTGAAAAGTTAAGGATGCTTATTGTAATCCCTAGAGCAACCAATAAAATATAAAAAAAGGAAGTAGAGCTGAAAATCCAAAAGAGAAATTACAATGGAATACTAATAAACATTTGAATTGTTATATAGCAAAAAGGAAGGACTAGACAATCCAACAAATAAAAATAACAAACAGAAATAATTTTGTATGACAGATGGAATAAATAAAGGTAAACAACAAAATGGTAGTTCTAATCTAAACATATCAATAATTATACTAAATGTAAATGAATTTAAAACTCCAATTATAAGGCAGAGATTATCGATCTGGATAAAACCCAAAACAGAGTTATGGGCTATCTAAAATCACTACCTGGTTATAAAAGACAAGCATAACTCTAATACTAAAACCTGATGTAGCTTTTATGAGAAAAGAATATTAAAAAAATATGTCATTTGCATACATGCAAAAATTCTCAGAAAAATATTAGCAAATCAAATCCACTGTTATATAAAATGGATAGTATACTACTACAAGGTGAGATTTATTCAGGAATTCAAAGCTGTTTTAACTTTTCAAACATTCAATTAAGGAAATATATTTTATTACCATAATAAAGGAGAAAAGTAAATATGATATTCCCAACAGGTGAAGAAAAAAATTTGGTGAATAAAAACCCCTTATTTAAAAAACTTTCAGAAAATTGGGAATGAAAGGAAATTTCTCAGTCTAATTAAAAGTATCTATGACAAATGTATAGCAAATGTCATATTTTTATTTTTTATTTGTGAGGAGGATCAGCCCTGAGCTCACATCTGATACCAATCCTCCTCTTTTTGCTGAGGAGGATTGGCCCTGAGCTAACATCCGTGCCCATCTTCCTCTACTTTATACGGGATGCTGCCACAGCATATGGCTCGACAAGCAGTGCGTCGGTGCACACCCGGGATCCGAACCGGAGAACCCTGGGCCGCTGCAGCAGCGGGCGTGCACTTAGCTGCTTGCGTCACTGGGCCAGCTGCTAGCACATGTCATATTTAATGATGAAATACTTAATATGTTCCTTTTAGAACAAGGCCAAGGCAAGGGTGACCATTTTAGATTCAATGTTGTACTGGGGGTCATAGCCAGTGAATACAGCAAGGCAAAAGAATAAAAAGTAAAAAATTAAATAAATAGAAGACTTAAAAATTGCAAAAAAAGAAGTAAAATTTTTTCTATTCATAGAAGCTATGATTAAACACGTAGAAAAATCTTAGGCATGGGTTGGCAGACATTTTCTGTAAAGAGCCAGATAGTAAATATTTTGGGCTCTGCAGGCCTTATAGTCTCTATTGCAACTACTCAACTCTGCTGTAGACAGTGATAGAAAATATGTAAGTGAATGAGCATTCCTGTGTTCCAATAAAACTTTATGAAAACAAGTAGTGGGCTGTATTTGTTCGACATGCCCTAGTTTGCCAACCCCTGAATCTCCAAAGCAATGACTAAATCTACTAAGTAAATTTACCTTGATAAATTTGTCACAGGATAGAAGAATTAAATTACCGTTCATTGCATTTCAGTATAATAGCAGGAAACAATTGAAAATGAAATTATAAAAATTCCCATTAGTGATATCACTAAAATATAAAATACACAGGAAAACATCTAAGAAAAAGCAAAAGGCCTCTGCATTGAGAACACTGCAGAAATTTCTAAAAGACAAATGGCGAATTATACCACTTTCATGGGTTAGATGACTCTTTTTAAGATGCCAGTTCTCCCCACATTGATATATAAATTCATTGCAACTCCAAGCATAAACTAAGAGACATTGTAAAATATAGAAATGGACAAGCTATTTCTAAAATTTTTTACTGAAATGCAATGGACCTAGAATAGCCAAACAGTTTTTAAAAGAAGATAACTGGAGACTTTACAATACTTGACTTTAAGAATTATGATAAAGCTTCACTAGTCAAGACAGTATGACATTAGCATAGGATAATAGATCAAAAGAACAGAATAAAGAGTTCAGAAATAGACCCGCACATATACAATGAATTGATTTTTTTTTTTCTGCAGGGTAAGAGTCCCTCTAAGCTAACATCTGTTGCCAATCTTCTCCCTTTTTTCTTCCTTTTGACCCCAAGCCCAGTACATAGTTGGATATAGTTGTGTGTTCTTCCAGTTCTATGTGAGTGCCGCCACAGCATGGCTACTGACAAATGAGTGGTGTGGTTCCCCACCAGAAACCAAACCCAGGCCGCTGAAGCGGAGCACACCGAACTTAACCACTAGGCCATTAGGGCTGGCTGTATGATCGATTGAGTTTTGACAAAGCAATTGAATGGGGAAAATTAAAGTCTTTCAACAAATGGTGCTGGAACACGTTACTCATATGGAATAAAAAGACCCCAAAACCTTACCTCACGGTACAAACAAACTTTAATTGTAGATGACTTATGTGTCTAAACATAGAAGATACAGTATAATACTTCTAGAATAAAATGTAGATTATTTTCACGACTTTGAGATAACCAAATTTTTTTGGACAGGGCAGAGAAAGCAATAACCATAAAATAAAAACAATAAATAAATTAGATGGTCAGAATTACAAACATCTGCTATCAAAAGATACTATTAAGAAAATGAATAGGCAAGCTGTGGATTGGGAGAAAACATTTTCACCACATATATCTGACAAAGGACTTATATTTAGAACACATACATAACAAAAAACAGTTTTTAAAAAGAGCTAAGGAACTGAATAGCTAGTTCATAAAATAAGATGTATGAATAGTTAGTACA